GTGTCAAGAGCCATAATTCACGTCTCTGGTCCTGGCCATGTCAACATAAACCTAGGTTGTTTTAACAACTGCTGCTCATAAGGTGCGGTCTTTATGAACAATAAGCAAATACAACCTACATCCCTATGCTCTTCAGTCAAGGTGTGCACGTTTGGCTGGAAAGGTCATGTTGGGGCACGCAGATAAATTTTACATAACACCTCTCAGTGATGTACAAGAGTACTCGTTTGAAGCGTACGTTGGTGGCTAAATGGCTTCGCTCTTTGTCCCGTCGAGGGGCTATTTTTCTGTGCTGTGTGTGTGGTGGTGTGTGTGTGTGTGTGTGTGTGTTTGCGCAGACTCACTCATCTCCATGTACTCAGGTGTGAGGCCTTCAAAGGGAGCCAGGGCGTAGTCCAGGTTCCACTGCTGTGGAGGCCTCTCCTGCTCCTTCTCCTTCTCTGCGGATCCTTTATCCTTTATCGCACGCACCAACTTCTTCAACTTCCTGTCAGGGTGGGGGGAGAAGGTGGAAAAAGTTTCATGTGAAAATAAACACTGTAAATGTAATCGAAAGTATAAACAAATGTACACTGGATCACCTGCCAAAGTGACTGATTTCAGCCACTCACTGAATGTCTTACTAATTCTACACCTCTGGCATGGTGGTACAGAGACGTTGCACTTGGCACCTTTACTGCAGCTGACATTTCAAATCCTAATTCCAATGAAAAAGAAATGTGTCTCCCAAACAAACACCGTATTTATTTTACAAGGAACTGAACCAGAATGTTTTTTCATCTGTGATTGTGAAGCAGGGTGGTGCTGTTGCTTGAGATGTGTACTCAGTAAACTTTCCCTGGAACAAAAGAGGTCGAAACGGTCTCTGCTTGTGAAACATAATAGACAAGCTAGTATTTACACAGGTAGAGTAATGCTAAACATTTCATTGCGAACCAACCGCACGAACAACCAGAAGCTGACTGTTTTCAAAGAAATGTGGACGCCTTAGAAGAAAGTAAGCCGCAGATTGGCATTAGAGTGAAAAGTGAAGCTGTGTCATGCTGACAAACTGCTTCTGGGAAACACAGCGAGTTATTGTGTGTGATTGAAGTACATGACATAATTTCCACACACAGTATCTGAGTGTGCAGATAAAGCATATGTGTAATATGATGTATGTCTGACTTCTGTGAATGGACAAAACACAGACTGTATGCACTGCTTGTAAAAAAACTAATAAAAGCAGCTAAATGCTTGACTGCATTATTTATGTGGTTATTATCACACACACACACACA